GAGGCGATGCGAGTCTTGAGGTGGAGACGAGTCGCAGTGGTAGCCTTCGCCGTGGCTGCCGCCGCCGCATCCGCTTCGCGGACATGTGAGTGTTGTCATTGGCTGGCACATTCTACGGTGCGACACGGCGAGAATCCTCCTCACTCCTCCGCAAACGGTGCGATGCCGCGGCGGTGCGCCGAAATCGGCGGAGGGGTAATGCTCTCGGGACGAGGGGGAAGCTTCTCCCAATGGGAACCGATATTAACGGATCGTGTATAAAATTGCATACGGAACGGATGCGAAAGAACGTTACTGTCTCGGAATGTCGTCGTACGGTCGTTGCAGAAATTAGTTAGATAGGTTGAGTGAGAGAGATACAGACACTCTCTGTAGAAAGCGATGAGCCGGCAAGATGGGACTGAAGATCAAAGAGTGCGGATCTGGGAGGGCCGAACATATCATATAACACATCGCCTCGTATCCCACGATGGGGATTGTGGGTGTGGAGTGGACTGTCACACACCGAAGGTGACTCGCCATCGGCGGATGGGAGGGAGAGGGGCACCCGCACCGGCGCACGCACAAGGAAGATGTCTCAACTCATCATGGTGCTGTTCAATCTCTACTCCTCCAATAGCCAATAGTGATGAAGCTTGAAACCCTCACGAAAGACAGCTTGCACGGCGGTGCATATTGAGCGGAAAGTGGTCAGGGGGGGGGAGGGGTGCGACGATATGGTCTGGGGACGGCGGGTGCGTGCGACGATCGTCTGGTCTGGGGATGGATAATTTTTTGTTGTTTGACACTGTTCACGTAGGAATGAGAGAGGGGGCGGTGCTGAATGAAATTCTTGATGTGAGCAAACGTAGCTTCCTGGGGAGGGGGATAAGGGAAGTTTGAAAGGAGGGCGAGTGGGGGGAGGAGGGGATGGGGAAGGAGGGGACACGGGGGAGGGGGAGGGGGACAAAGACGAGGCACGCACGACATGAGATGAAGAGAGGGTCCGCCAACGTGGGCTGTATCGATTTGGGTGCAAGCAAGAGAAGTCCAAAAACGAAGCCAGGATTCAGTGCACTGCACATGTATACACCCTCATTCTCGTTAGACTGGCATATGTTATACTGATAGAAACGCTTAGTGTAGCCGCAGCGGACCAAAGAAGGTCCTATCACATGCGTTATACTGACAGTTTGACCCAGGGCATTTAGTCAAGGTTCTATACGTTCTAAAATGGTACTGCTGTTTTTAAAACGGTGAAGACAGCTATTCAGCGTTAACGGAATTTTACGGCCCAAGTCCGGTTTCGTCGCCTCGTGCGACTTGGCCCGCAACCGAGTTATCTCACCAGCCCGCTACGTCCAAACACTGTAGCCACTGCTTCCGCCGGTGAGAAGACCGAGAATGAGGGTGTACATGGGATCATGGGATGTGATGTGATGAACGCAAGGAAGCGATGGAGAGAGAGCAGTGGAGGGGATGGGGGAAGATGGGATGGAATTATGTCAGTGACGACAGCTCGCGATATTTGGCGAACAAGACATATATTCGTGTTGCCATTTCGCAACACAACCTGTCTCCTTTCCCTCCCAACCCAACCCAGTCTCCGACCGTCACTGCTCCTCGTTCTGACCAGCAGACATGCGGCTCGCTGGGAAAATCTCGCGGCTTCAGGGAAATCGTGCGAGTTTCATGAATCCCACACGATTCGCACACCTTCCCCTCCCCACATGCCTTTTCATCGATTTGTCGCATCGCCCTCGAACCGCGAATAGGAGGTTACACATGATGCTCGTTTGACTAACCCAAGGTTTCCCTGTGAAGAGGGCATTTAAGAGATTCTATTCGTTTCGCGAATTTCGTCAACGTCGCACCTAGCAAAAAAGGGCTTATAAAAACATTATAACTCTTCGTTGACTTTTTGACTTCAGTCTCTTCAGATATTCTTTGGTTTCTGTGGTTACTATTGGTTCATAGCCAATGCAGCTTGCTCGGGGTGCTTGTATCGTGGGTGCAGCTAGCTGGCGCAAAATACACGGGTGCAGACTTTCTGGCGCGTGCAGGGCAAATTCGCGCGCAGCAGTTGAGCATCATGTGTACATGCAGTGCCCATACGATTCTTCAAAGTCAGCGAACGGGAGAGGGGCTCGTGAATGGTGATTGGACTGTTCTCCACAATTGACGGAGCAATGCAGATTTTGGTGTAAGTAGAAAGCATCGTAGGAAGTTTCTACTTCAACTGTATCTAGTGCGTGCGTGTACGTACAATTTTGGCTACATCTGCAACTGCAATTCGCGACAACATTTTGGCGGTGGTAATCGAACACATCAGGATTTCAACAGCCATGCTGGCGGATGAGCTCACCGTCGATGACAAGAACTAGTAGCCGTGTTTCTTGCTGTATCCTAAACCCTAAAATTCGGGAGCCTAAGGGCGCCTCACCTGAGGGGCGGAAGGCCAAAATCCGAACCGACGTATCAGTTTGACTGTACGAACAGTATCCCAAATGAGTTCGAACACAAATACGTACAATGAGCGAATGTGACACAGGCCATCACAGGTGACGACATCGCTATTCGCACACGCGGTCTGTTCGAACACAGCGACGTCGCCCACAAAAGAGCGACGTCGCCAAACATTGGGTCCCTCGCTTGTGTGTTTTCTCGAGCGCTGCGACCACCAAATGCGGAGCCAACTGGATTGCTAGAAATACAGCCAACGTCTGGCCGGGTCGCAAACGTTCATGAGCGACCCGGAAGACTGTGGACCAATCATATCAGTCGTTTGTGCGGAATTGTGTGTCACCTATCCCAACCTGTTCGAACAAACGTGTTCGAACGTGCGGGATGATGAAAATCGGGCTTGAGGTGACAGCTCTGTTCAAATTGGCGAAATTGTGCTTCGCGACGTCACGATCACCACTACGAACATAGGCGAAACGAGTAACGTTTCGCCTGTTCGAACGAGTGTGTTGTTCGAACCGACAGGTGAAGCGCCCTAAGGGCGCTTCACCTCTCAGTTCGAACAGGACGGTTGTTCGAACAGGCGAAATGTTACATTTTTCGCCACTCCTCGTATGGGTGTTCGTGACGTCGCTAGTCGGAAATTTCGCGAATTTGAACAGAGTTGTCACACGGGGCACGAAGCTCTCCATTCCGCACGTTCGAACAGAGTTGTTCGAACAAAGTTGGGTTTGGTGACAGGAATTCCGCATGGACGACTGATTTTATTGGTTAGCAGGCTTCGGGTCGCACTCGAATGTTTGCGACCATTGCAAATGTCGCCATGCAGGAGAAAGTTCATCAAAAAGGACATTGTTGTTGGGAAACAACAAGGTGAGCAGTAGTAGAAGAGCACGAAGAGACTGTTTGACTGGATGGGCGAAAAATGAGTCAAACTTGAATGGCAGACGACAGAATTATTTTTTTGCGACGTTTCGCGAAGTCGTCCAGCACTTGGCGACGTCGCATGTTCGAACAGGCTGTCACCTCTAGTCACGAGCTGTCACATTCACCAAGGTGTTCAAATTTGTGTTCGGATCTCGTCGGGAAACTGTTCGTACAGTGAATTCGTTACGTATGTTCGGATTTGGGCCTTCCAGCCCCGAGGTGATGCGCCCTAAACCCTACAAATTTTCTCGTCTCCTCTTCGTCGTTTCCTCGCCCCCTCCATTCCGTTTACTGTACATACCATGCCGTACTACATGTGTACGTTGCTGGCGTTTCACACGCTTGTCGGGTCAATAACTTTTGACGAGCTGGCAGCAGCCAGCTCGGCAGTATTGTTACAACAGCCAGCCAGCTTGTGATCGTTGCAAGTCAACAAGACTTCATTTGACCAGAAAATGCTGCCAACTGCGACAATACAGAACGGAGACCATTACAAGCCCTGTGCGTTATTATGTTACGTTTGAGACACAATAGAGTTTCAATCTGCTAACACAACCCCAGAAAAGGATAACATTCTCCCTGGAATAACTAATGGAGCAACAAGAACCCAGAGATAAACAGCTCCTGAAAACCACATGATCCCCATCTTCACCCAGGTGCTAACCCAGCCTGTATCCAAGCTCCATTGAGCCGGGTTTTGTTTTAAATCCCACCCGATAAAAAGCATTGTCATGTACATGGTTCCCGTTAAAAACACAAAATGGTAGAACCCGTGTCCGTAAGACACTTTGCCGTTCCCGGCGCCCTCCACATCCTCCCCGGAGTTTGGATGGAGTGAGATGCACCGCCGGTCGATTCCCACAGTGTAGACTGAAACTAAGATTGTGAGGAGAGCAAAAATGAATGCCTGTTGGGTACGTGGACGGGCGGATTCATATTGTAATACGGGAACAAGGAAGGAGCCAAGCGTCAGAAGAGTCAATAACAGAGGAAAAGAAATACTCTATGCAGGACACAAGCATTTATTCTTCAGCACTGCTAGAAGGTCCTCGTAGATTTGGCAATGAGGAGAGAAACTGAGATGGGTGTGCAGGACCGCTGCACTCACCATGACATCTGTCCATGTTGTTTGTCCTGTCTGCCTCGGGCGTGTGTTGCACGTCTCCCCGGGCGGCTCGCTCATGATTGCTGACCAGCAGAGGAAGACAAAATAGACCGCCATGACTCCAGTACTCAGCAGGCCCGTGGATTCGAGCTGCAGTTGATTAGACGGGGGCAGAGGGCACAATGGTGAGGCCCAAGTGTGAGGCACAAGGGTTAGGGCAGTCGGGGCAGGGGCGGAAAGGTGAGGGCAGACGAGGGTGAGGGTGGGCAACGGCGAGGGAGGAGAATGGTGAGGTTGAGCAAGAAGGAGGGCGAACAAGGGAGAAGAAGAGCACGAGAAAGTGTAAAGAGGAAAGCCAAGAGGGGGGAATTACTCACTGCTGGGAGGAGGCAGACGACGGTGAGGAGGAGAACGAGGAGGAGCAGGGAGGAGATGAAGAAGAGATTGAGTGAGCAGGAGAAGGACGGCACGAAGAAGAAATACATGAGGGCTGCTGCTGCTGCCACTACCACGTAACATACTCCGGTTACCACCGCTGCCAGCACGTGCCTGAGGGGTGGGAGGAGATGAAAAGAAGAGGCTGAGCGAGCAGGAGGAGGGCATAGAGAAGAGATAGATGAGCGCTGCTGTTGCTGCCACTACCAGGTAACACACTCCGGTTTCCACCGCTGCCAACACTTGCCTGAGGGGAGAGAGGGGATTGGGGGGAACAGGAAAAGGGAAGAAGTGAGGAAGGCATTAAGAAGAGGCGCACGAGGGCTGCTGCTGCTGCCACTGCCAGGTAGCACACCCTGGTTACCACCGCTGCCAACACTTGCCTGAGCTAGACAGTTTCGGGCAAGAGAGAGGTTGGAAGGGGGGCCAGGGAAGAAGTGGGAAGAGGGGAAGAGGGGATGAGGGTATGATCAAAAGATGGATGAGGGTAGCTGCTGCCGCCCCTGCCAGTTCACGTGTTCTGGTTACCACCACTGCCAACATGTCACCACTCGCTAAGATGCGGGCATGCGGGCATGAGGGCATGACAGCATGAGGGCATAAAGAGATTGCCACCACTCCATAAGATGCGGGCATGCGGGTATGAGGGCATGACAGCATGAGGGCATGACAGCATGAGGGCGTGAGGGCATGACAGCATGAGGGCATAAAGAGATTGCCACCACTCCATCCAATTATTGTCATTCTGTTTCACTCTGAATAATCCTGAGGCGCCTAACAAAGTGAACGTGCTATTAGCGCATGATTGCACAAGGGCGTGAGAGAAGGTGGGCGTGAGGGTGTGAGGGCGTGAGGGTGTGTGGGCAGTAGAGTGTGAGGGCAGTAGAGTGTGAGCAGCTTGACATGATACGAAAGCTCACCATTTCTTATTTTCTAACCATTCCAACAGAAGCTCACCATTTCTTGTCTGCCTGCCACGTGTCATTCCACACGAAGACAAAGTTCAGCATGCTGACAAGCTGGATAACGACGAAGATCACCGCCCCCAACACAGCCACGTAGCCGTAGATTCTCAACACGCCTGCACAGGATGGCAGAAGGGAGAAGGCGGAGGATACGTCTATCATACGGTCTAGGTAGGTGCTAATAGGAAAGTCGGACTCCTACGAGCATACCTTACCAAAATAAGATCTTAACCTTGCATGCATGATTCTCAACCGCATTGAACCCTCAGTTACCGCGCTTGACACTTTATGCTCACTAGTTCAAGGCACATACCTAAGGGAAGAAAGACTGTCATGCCAAGCAATGCCACCCAGAGCAGCAGCATGGGCGGCCACCAGCCGGAGTGCCACGTGCCACGGGCCCCTTTTGAGTCGACTCATAAGTCAAGGGACCTACCTAAGGGAAGAAAGACTGTCATGCCAAGCAATGCCACCCAGAGCAGCAGCATGGGCGGCCACCAGCCGGAGTGCCACGTGTCACGGGCCCCGTTTGAGTCGACTCATAAGTCAAGGCACCTACCTAAGGGAAGAAAGACTGTCATGCCAAGCAATGCCGCCCAGAGCAGCAGCTTGGGCGGCCACCAGCCGGAATGCCACGTGTCACGGGCCCCGCCGTCCACGCGCGCCCCCGTGGTGGTTGCAGACATGAGCGCGAAGAAGAGCGACATGCCCAGGCCCGTGCACAGCACCACCGTCGCTGCTGTGCATGCCTGGTCGCCAGGTTGACATGACTTGAAGCCTGTGGGGGGAGCGAGGGGAGGGGGTAGGGGGAAGGGTTGATTGTGTATCGACACGCGCGCCCACGCGCGCCCCCGTGGTGGTTGCAGACATGAGCGCGAAGAAGAGCGACATGCCGAGCCCCGTGCACAGGACCACCATGGCTGCTGTGCATGCCTGATCGCCAGGTTGACATGACTTGAAGCCTGTGGGAAGGAGGGAAGTAGATGTTGGAAAGTGGATATTTGTTACTTGAGACATGGGGGCGAAGAAGAGCGACATGCCAAGCCCCGTGCACAGGACCACGGTCGCTGCTGTGCACGCCTGGTCACCTGGCTTGCACTCCTTGAAGCCTGTGGGCGGAGGGCGAATATTCGCCACTTTAGACAGGAGGGCGAAGAAGGAAGACATTCCCAGCCCCGTGCACAGAACCACCGTGGTTCTGCACGCGAGGTCGCCCGGCTGACATTCTTTGAAGCCTGAGGGCGGAGGGGTAGATACTGTTTAGTAGATCTACTTCTGATATAAGGTCGAAGAAGAGCGACATGCCCAACTCCGTGCATAGGACCGCTGTGACTTCTGAGTCGACTCAAAAGTCAGTTTTTGAGTCGACTCAAAAGTCAGCTCGTTTGTAGATCTACTTCTGATATAAGGTCTACGAAGGGCGACATGCCCAACTCCGCGCATAGGACCACTGTGGCTGCTGTGCACGCTAGGTCCCCCGGCTAGCACTTCCTGAAGCCTGTGGTCGGGGGAGAGGGGATAACTGTGTAGTCAATATTTACATTGGACATGAGGGCGAAGAAGAGCGACATGTTAAGCCCCGTGCAGAGGACCGCTGTGGCTGCTGTGCACGCCTGGTCGCCCGGCTAGCACTTCTTGAAGCCTCTGGCCGTGCTACTCACTGGGTAGATGCATGAGGGCGGTGTGGCCGAAGTTTCGTAAGCACCACATGGGGTCTGACTCGCTATAACACGAAGCATTATACATCTCATCCGCGGACTACTCACTGGGTAGATGCATGAGGGCGGTGTGGCCGAATTCGCGCAAGCACCACGTGAGGACGAGCGCGAGGAGGAAGAGGAGGCCGTAGATGTACTTGGCGATCCGTCGCGACGTGCCCAAAGAGCACGCTGCGACGTGCCCACTTTTGAGTCGACTCAAAAGTCACCTCCCGATGAGGAAGAGGAGCCCGTAGATGTACTTGGCGACGCGCCGCGACGTGCCCACTGGGCAGTGCATGTCTCTCTGTGAGAGATCACGCCGCAACTTGAAGCACACGTAGCAAGCTCACGAGCCTGCTCGCTGCTTCACGAATGAGCAGGTCATGAGGACTGACTCGTTCTAGCACGAATCGCTATGGAAGACAGCACCACATTGCTCACTGGGTAAGTGCATGAGGGCGGTGTGGCCGAAGTCCCGCAAGCACCACATGAGGACGAGCGCGAGGAGGAAGAGGAGCCCGTAGATGTACTTGGCCACGCGCCGCGACGTCCCCAGAGAGCACACCGCGCAGCAGCATGCGCCGAGCGACTCGCAGCATTGCGCGCAGCAGCACGCGCAGAACATCCTCTCGTGGCAACGGCCGCAGCCGCACGAGTTAATGAAAGTTGGAGCGAATTGAGGTGCAAAAGGAAATGAGATTTAAGACGGGCTGAGTTTTAGAAGCCTGGAGATTGCGAGCGAGAACTGGAGCGATTTAGAGCACACAGAGAAGAAGAATGTGCAACACTGAAAAGAATGTCTTATCGACTAGATTCCTTCTAAATACCTTCCGATTCTATGCGCGCTCAATGTTGTAAGATGATTGTAAGTTACGAAATGCACCACCTTAGCGAGCGGAGAAGAAAGCGAAAGTACTCGAAGGGCACGTCTTATCGACTTCGTTTCCTGCTAGTGCTACATCTGACAATGAACCGTCAGCCTCTTCCCTGTGTTTATGCACCATGGCTGATAACTGTCACTGATTCGATCATCGGGATTCTTGTTCTCGGCTTGGTTCATCGTCCTGCATAAGAGAAGCTGGTGAGCGTCAGTGTGCATCTTCAAACCGCATCAAGCCATTCTGTAGCGTGTCTTCACAAAGATGACCATTCTGAACCGTCTAAAACCACAGCAGGATGTCGGACCTGGTTTTCTTCACTCTGCTTTCAGCAGCCCCGCCCAATTTGGTTGATGCTGAACCGTCCCCAACCTTCCTCGGAGTTTGGGGAGAGGTTTGCTGGAGAATTCAGAATTTTGGTCCGCGCGAATGCACATGTTCCCCCGCGTCAACGCGGAAAGCAGGGCGCAAGCAATTTCCGAACTTTGCGCACGACATTTGAAACCTGCGAGGATGTCCTCAAACAGTATGCGCGGTTCGAACAAAAGCAAGCCTGACAATTATTGGTGTCGCTTTCAAAGGTGCACCTAGATGATCACAATATACACTTCTCGCACAATGTGAAACTATACTTCCATGAGGACGAGATCTCTCCCTACCACGTCTTGCTTGTAGAGGCTAATGTAATGCTTCTGTACAGCTCGCATATGCGGTAGTGCTGTAATTTCTAGCGGAGCACCAGAGTGTCGCACATTTTGTTGTCGCAGCACTGCTGATGATCACTGGTTCAGTGGACGTGGTATTCGCTTGACGACGCATGTACGCGACGTGCGATGGTTGCATCGCCCGTTGAACGTGGCGAGCCGATCCATACCGCCGAAGGCGACCTTCGCAGCCCCCCTCCGTCGCTTCACCGTCGATCGTGCATGTTGAGTGAGCGAGTGTATGCCATGTGGCGGTTTATTATCGGTGTTTCAGCCCCTCTTCTCGACGACAATGTCAACCACAGAAGGTAACCGAGTCGTGAAACTTCGTTTAGCTCATTCACATTTTTCCCGTCTCAATTTTCTCTCATCCGCAGCCCTATCACCAGGGAATTGTTTCCAACCCAAGTTCATAGCTTGAGAAACAACCATTGATATCAGCTGGACTAGCACATGAAGTGAGCTTCACCATCACACCTCATGTGAGCATTATGAAGCAGGTGCGAATTGCTGCTTTTCCATAAGCGCATGGAGCTAACGTTATCGTTAGGTTAATAAGAGTATTTCCGTTAGCTCGAGGTGTTTCTTCTTCCAGTCGTGTGCCTGGAGGAGACTAGAAGCTGATCGTTACCTGATGGAGTCTCAGCAGCATTTTTGCGAGTTGCTTCAGTGCGCTGCGAACATTCACGAAAACATTAGCGACGCGATCGAAAGGAGCCTACAGAGCGATTTTATTCTAGCGACGTCGGCATCTGCTCCCCTAACCGCACGATCATGGTAAAGCACGCACGCGCACTCACATCACTTTTTATTCAGATAATCACAACAGCTAGTAGTCGCTCCTTTTTCATCCCGCGACATCACGGAATGATTGTAAATATGATTTATTCAGTCAACTGAACCTCAACCCATTGATCACGTGCTCACGTCCTTAATGTCTCGTCCTTCTTAATTTCCGTTTTTCCCTCCATTCTAGGTCAAGCCAGCGAGACGCGACGTCAAGCACCACGCACCCTGATTCCCATCAACCTGCACACGAGAGCCTCAAAGAAGCTCAAACCCGAAATCATAGAGGCGTCTTCAGCTCGAGCCCGCTGATTCTTTGGCCGAAGTTTCCGCTTGATCTGTCCACATCGTCTTCTCGCAAGTAAGCACCTGTTTTGAGGCGTCCAAATTCTCCGATTTCATGTCCTGTGCAATGCCGTGCACTGGTTCCCCTTCCATTCATTTTCCGTAAATATTTTCCGGATGGGATTTCCGGAGATGTTTCCTGGATGTGTTTCCTAGACGTAACCGGAACTGATTCTTTGTGTGTCGTGCGTGTCGTTTCGCTGATCACGGCAGCTCATCATCCAAGCAGACCGGCTCAGAGGCGCCTTCCTCTCTGTCAGAGCGTGGTCAGGCTGACGCTCCCAGCCATCAGCAGCAGCAGCAGAAGGAGCAGAACAAGGAGCCGCACACGCAGCATGAGACGCTGCAGGACGCGCTACAGCACACGCAGCAGCACGGCCGGCTGTCTCTGCCTGCCATGGGCACCAGGAGAGCCTCGAGGCTTGGTGAGGGTACTGCGGAGGCGCGAGTACTCATTGCTCTGCGCGATTCTCTGGAGATGGTCGAGAGCGGTTTGGAGCGGTTGATGGATCAGGAGCAGGTTCTGCAGCAGCAGCTGCAGCTGGAGCAAGCTCAGCAGCAGCGGGAGACGCAAGAGTGGGGGCCGAGAGGGCGGGTGAAGAATTCAACGAGCCACAGTAGCAGGGAACAACGTGGAGGGGAACGCGGAAGAGCATTGGCGGACGCGCGCGGAAGAACAGCGGCGGAGCTGCAGATGGCGCTGCGCGTGGTGTGGTCGCAGGGGGAGAGCCATCGCGGCCGCGAGGAAGTGGTATGGCTGCTAGCCTGCATAGCACTTCATCTGTTTCTCTTTCCATTTCTCTTGTTTGTTCGTTCGTTTGTTTCCAAGCATCATCCCAAGTGCCCTGCTTGCTTTCTGTGTCATGTGTCCCTAAGTCCTCATCTGCTTCACTTCGTGGCCAGTGTATCGTGAAACTTTCCCTTCCTTTTCTTGCCACTTCCCTGCGTCAACTCCGCTCAATTCGCCACTCCCAACCCCTCACGTCATGAGAAGCTGTGTTTCACTTCATGGGCAGCTTGTGTTTTTTCCTAAACCCCCGTTCAATTCTTGCGTCCGTGTTGTTCCCTCTGTCTCTCCCAACCCTTCAGGTGGTGAGGGAACTGCTTCATTCATCGCCAGTGTCGCCCAGATCCTGCCAGGAGCAGACAATTCCGTAGCAGAGCAAATCCCAATGCTGCTCGCATCCTGCCTGTTCCTCTGCCCCTTCCAACCCTTCCTTCTCATTTCCTCAGGTGGTGAGGGAACTGCTTCACTTCGTCGCCAGTGTCGCCCAGATCCTGCCAGGAGCAGATAATTCCGTAGCAGAAGAAACCCCAGCACGACACGATGACAGGCAACCTTCTGGACGTTTAGTTACTGCAGCAGCCGCAGCTGTTAATGCTGCTGCTGGCAGCGGCCGTAGCAGCAGCAGCAACAGCGAGGGCAGCAGGAGGAACAGAAGCGGAGAATCCGCAACTAGGCCAACAGAGTTGCGCAAAGCTGTTGATACTGCTGCTGCTGGCAAACCCTCGTTTCCTTCCCGCTCTCCCTCCTCCTCATGCGGAGGTTCCGTCACCAGGAGATCACAGTCGCCCAAAGCTGTTGATACTGCTGCTGCTGGCAAACCCTCGTTTCCTGTCCGCTCTCCCTCTTCCTCCTCTGCCTGCTCTGGCTGCTCCGCACACTCCCCTCGCTCCCGGCGTTCCCAGGCCAACACGAACAGCCCTCGCAGCCCCCATTCCCGTTCTTCTCATACCCATCATTCTTCTCACAGCCGCCACTCTTCTAAAAGCCGCCACTCTTCTCAAACCCACCATTCTGGCCCAGCGCCACTCTCTCCTCATACCCGTTACAGGGACAAACGCGACAGCTCTAGTAGCACAGATAAGGCCGAACCAGGCGTTCCGCCTTCCTCCTTGGTGACTTTCCTGGCACAGCAACAGCAGCAGCCAGGCAGTGCGAGGAGCAACCGTAGCACAAGGAGAGGTGACAGCGGCAGCAGCAGTGGCAGTGGCAGGGGCAGCGGCACTGGCAGGGGCAGTGGCAGTGACAGTGGTTCCAGGAAGAATGGAGGCAGTAATGATGGCTCAGCTCTCAATAATACGAGCAAGGAAGCAGATATTTGTTTCAGTCAACGCAAATCAAACGCGGCTGCTGACGTCACACCTCTCTGTTCCACGTCACCCTCTTCCACGTCATCATTGCCGCCCTCACCTTCACCTGAAGGCTTCCCCTCGCCTCCCCCGCTGCTGCCGATTGATCAGGATCAACCGAAGGAGGTGGAGGAGGAGGAGATGGGAGCGGAAGAGGAGGAAATAGGGAAAACAGCAGCGGGAATAACAATTGCTGATGATGCCTCTGTAATAATGCACGTCTCACCTGCTGCTGCGGCTGCCACTGCCGCTGTTGCCATCACCAGTGCTTCAGCTCTTGATTCCCCTGACACCTTCTCATCCACTTTTCCTGCACCTTCTGCATCTGCTCCGGATCCTCTAGCTCTAGAGCCTCCCCCCGTTTCTACTGCCTCACGCCTGGTCCCCCTGCCTCTGCTGCCACTGCAGCGCCTAGCCCATCCTTTCCTGAACAATAGCTTCCGTCTTGTTGACGCTCTTACGGGCGGCATGGCTCGGCAGGTTTCGTCTGGGTTCTCAGGCTTGCTCCGGAACGTGTGCAGCAAGCCGAACCTGTTTTCCAAGCCTCTCGGTCAGCTTGGGTCCTTGGGCGGCACGGTGCTCGGATTGGGCGGCGCAGTGGGGGTTACTGTAGGTTTGGCGCTCATGGCTGCTAATGCTGCAAACGGAGGGGTTACTAACGGGGTGTATCAGCGAGTAGGGGCGCCTCTGAGGGTGGAAGCAGGGAAAAGGGAGTGGGGACGGCAGGTTGATGCTGAGGAGCAAAAGTACTGGGCTGATGAGTACAGTGCGAGAGTGTA